GAATAGGCTAGCATCACTGGAACAGAATGAGGCTAACAGGGGTTACTGAAGGAATGGGAAATGGGCAGAAATGTAACATATAGTAGTAGGAACAAAAACACTATTCCTCCACATCTGATTATGATTTGATACTGGACTGAATCTAGAGCAGTTCCACTGTAGCCAGTGGATCCAAAGCAGGGAAAAAATGTTTTACAAAGTTGAAGGTGCTTATATGTGTCCAAAAAATTATTTTCAGATCAACATTCACAGCTTTGGCATTGTGCCTCTGCCCAGAAAATTTGTCCAAATATTAAAAAATAGTAAATAAGAAAATGTATTTAAATGTCAGCCAGTGTTTATGAAGTTTCAGCTGAACTTTGGCAGTCAGCCCTAACTGTGATAAAAGACCCTGCACCAATATATTTTTCTTTTCTCTTTTTTTTTTTCCCCTTTCTCTCTGTTTCTGTAGACAAAGCTGACAGCATAGCATAGATCTTGAGATACGGCTGATACATTTTTTCTAAGCTAAAGTATGTTGTTAGCTCTTATGCTAATGATTGCAGCAGAATCCCAGCCTCCTTCCACAAAGTATTTGTGGGAAGAGAGGTTACCGCTAAGCGTCATCTTTGATTTTGGATCTTGCTTTGGGTCCTGTCTTCTCCAAGTAGATTCAGCCAGTGCCTTGTATGTAACATCTGTTCTCAGGTCGGAAAGTCTTGCTGTCCCCATTTTACAGATGGGCTTTTGAGAGACAGGAGGAATAATGCCAAATGCTTCAAAGATACTTAGTGGAGGTTAAGTGCTGAGTTTGCTTTGAAGGTCTAAACCCAAATGACAAGTTTGTGATCATGCATGAGATTTGTATTGCCCATGGGAACAGACCCATTTTTTCAGGATAGTGTCATAACCACTCCACAACCCTTCCTCTTTCTTCTTCCTAAAGCTCCTACTGACTTCAAAGGTGAAGAATTATGGCCCGCATCCCACAGCACTGTGAGCTCGGACATGTGTGCAGACCTTTACCCACACATATATTCCATCAGGGATACTGACTCAAGTAAAATTACACAGAGTTGGGGGGGGGATTTCTGCAAGACTGGGACTTACCCTCTTTTAGGGCTCAAATTTCCTCCTTTAACTTCGAAAGCTTGACTAAGAAATGCACAGTGTACCTAATGACACCAAGAGTGACACCCAATGACTAAGTCTGGAGTCCATCTGTACTGCACATTGGAGAGCTGTAGACCAGGGTAAATATGAACAGAAAAAAAGCAGAATTCTAGTTGCCTCAGTCAAACAAAATATTCTTCCTTTTCAATAGCTGTGGGTGAAATATATTATTGAGTTTCCATGGGAAATACGTAATTTTTGTGTGTGTGTATATGTCTGTATGAGTTGGTTGGATTCTCAGAAAATTGCATGGCTTGCAGAGACTGACTACAGAACCTCTTTATCCCTTCTAACACGTATCAACTGCAAAGCAAGCCCAGGTGATGGGTTGCACTGTGCTCTTCTGCTGATCCAAATCCTGCTTTCCTGGATGAAGAGCAAAGTAAGAAGTTAGGATATTTCAACAGTCCCATCATGCAGCCCACTATGCACTTGAGTACTGATAGCAGTAGTCAGCTATTATTGCAGAGATGGTCAGTCCCTTGCCCATTGGCACAGTGAATGTTTCATCCATTCACGCAGCTCAAAATGACAAATACCTACCTTTAAATATTAAAAATAATTCTTACTACTGATTTGAAAGAAAATTATTTGATGAAATGGACAGGGAAGGTGCATCCCTTTGGTGTGTTCATCAGCCTCTTCTTTTTAAACAACAAATTTTCTTCCTCCCCTCCCCCAAAAAACATTAAATCCCGACTGCGGTTAACAGCTTCCTAATTGCATGCGACTGTTTCTTGACTTCCTGATCCCTGTCTGGTAGTTAGGAATCCAAAGGGTTTCTTAAATCAACAGGAGCAGCTGCCTCCTTGAAGCCAGGCATGGTGTATGTCACCGGCTGTGGAAAGGAGCGGCGATACAGGGAGGAGCAGAGGTGATTAATGGGGCCAGTGTCGTAGCTCAGAGTGTGGTTGCACTACTGTGTACGGCCGTACTTACTTCAATCATTTATCTTCCAGCCTCTGCCACACACACGCACAAACATACACAGGCACGGTCGGTTTTTTGCCAGTGATGGAGCAGTCATTGGAAATACAGGAACGCACAAGGTGCAGAGGGATCCCTAGCTGGTGATGTGCGTATGGGGTTGATGCCTTCTTTCCTCTTGTTCTTTGGACAAGCATGAGAAATGCTGACAAAACCCAGTCCTTTTTCTGAAATTTATCTCTCTGTCCTTAGCAAACTCTTTCCCACAGAAGGAATACAAAGGGAAGGAGGAAAAAAAGGCAAAAAAAAAAAAGGCAAGGAAATGGCTCCATTTCAGGGACTATATTTTAGGTTAGGTAAGGAAGGGAACCAAACTATGAGTTGAATGTGAATGTAGGACTGCAAGTGTAGAATTTGCATGAGCTGAAGCCATTCGATCCCCAGTATTGCTGCTCCTGCCTTGTGCAAGTCATCCTGACAGGCAGTGCTGTACCTTGCTCTCCCTGAAGCACTGCAGGTGATCCGAGAGCAGGTCCCCATCGGTTCCCAGCCTTCGCTTCCCTTCACCCAAAAGCAAGGGAGAAGAGACTTCTCTTACATGGGTGTTGAGCCTTCAGATGTTCCCAGAAAATGTCACCTTCCATTTCGGTCCCCCAGAGCTCCCATGACTCCTGGCTCAGCTATATCATCCCCTGAAACACAGAGTACAGAGGAATTGCAAAGCCTTGTGATGTCCGTATAGACCAACTGATTTACACTTGTACCTTGCAAAGGTTATAGCAAGTGTAAAATGGCTATTTATTCCTCAAATGTTATTCCTACAGTAATCTCTCACTGCTTTTCACTAGGAATCAAAGCTGCTGCATCCTTTGCTATCGTAGCCAGCGATGTTTTACCCCTCTGACTCCAGCAGGCTTCTCCTGTGTCCCTTTGAGACAAGCACAGGCTCTTGCCAGACAGCGAGGCAGCTTCCTTGTGCATTAACAGGAAACTGGTGTCTCCAGTTGGTCTGGCTTAATGGCACTGTTGTTACTGAGTGCTGGCAAAGGGCTAAAATGAGAACAAGGTGCAAATAACTTGCTTGCTCTGAGGAGTTTACAATATTCATTGGAGAGGCCAAGCCATCCTGGAGAGCCGGGAGGAAGGAGTGACTCAGGCTAATACAATTAAATCCGTAAGGAGGGATGTGCTGTGGGAAGTAGGGTGATTTGGCAAAGCAGGTTGGGGAATCACAGTGTTTGAACCTCAAAGGTCCACCTGGTCCTCCTGGCTGGTGCAGGTACAGCAGCAGGTTGCTGTCAGCAGCAGTGGGACTCTTGGCTCTGGAGATGTGGTGCCCGGTTCTGGCTCACCCAGCTGGGTACGGCCCTTGGTGCAAATCCAGGGCAAAGCCTGGACTTGTCCTGCTGAATAATGCATGGTGAGAAATCTCAGCTTCCCCGTCCCCCACACACATCAGAAGAGTTGTAGCTGTAGTGAAAAAGCTTTGAGAGCCACTGGGAAGGTGAAGGTTGGTTCTTTCCCTAAGACTTGCTGAAAGCTTCTGGAGAGACAATCTGAGCAACGAATGTGGGAAGAGGCAAAAGTCATTGTGGTAAAATCATGCGGCCACATGGGAGGGTAAGAGGTGGGCTGAAAAAAAGAAGACTAAAGGCAGGTTCTAAGAAAATGAGTGCAGGAATCTGGTATAGTAGAAAACCAGAGGAAGAATTAAAGCAAAAGAGCCCTTGCATCAAGTATTTCAGCACACTGCTTGAGGGATGTTCCCCTTATGGACTGTGCTTGCAATACCATTACCACTGACTCAGATTAACACTGGAAATCCTGGCAGCTTTACATTCACCTGGGGACTCAGAAATCCAAATTGGGGTTTTGCAGCATAAGTTGCTTTCCAGTGATGAGGCAAAGAAAATCACTGGAAGGTGCCTGGTCCTGTAAACAGTCACCAGACACTGTCCACCTACAGCACTTCTCTCTGCACTGTAGGCTCCCATGTTCTTGTGGAAGACCTTGGGCTCGTTGTGTCAAAACAAATCAACTGTCCTAAAAATCAGAGACTTCTGGCTTGTCTGTCCTTTATAGCTGGGGTCTTGGCCCTTTCCTGGGTTTGCTGCCCTTGCTTGAACAACCCAAATGATGCTTTGGGTTTTCACCATGCTTCTTTGTGTGCGAACTTCTCTCCTTCCAAAAGTAGGGACTAAAGGAGCACTTCTTGTGGAATTGCCTTCCTCTCCCCCAGAATATCAGGGATGTTCTAGGGACTTATGTGTTGCAATTCGTGGTCTTTTCTAGTGAGATCTAATAGCATCTAAAACTGAGGGAAAGGTAAGGAGTTTTACCACATTTACATTTTTCTTTACATCAACATTTCCTACTTTTTTTAAGTGTTTGGCTTATTCAAAAGCAGCATATACAAGCCAAGTCTTGCAGCCCTTAATTAAGGTCAAGGTGACTTCAGCTGAGAACAGATCAGAGGACTTGTTCTGTTATTAATTACCCAATGAACTGAGTTGAAAAAGCAGAGAAGAGGTTTTGGTAAGTTACCCAGGTGTAATGCCTAAAAGCTCAGTCTGCTGAAAGAATGGAGAAAAGTCAAAATGAATTTAAGTTCCATTTAGGAAACGCTTGCAGCCTGCTGTTCCCTTCCGAGATGAAGAAGGGTACCAGCTACTCTGAAAAACTGCTTGTTGTTGGGGTTTTTGTTTGTTTGGTGATTTGTATATTTTTTGTACAATTCCCAGTAAGCTCACATCCTCTGGTGGTTTTTTCAGCAATGTTCAGATGGCTCAAATAAGACTAGATTAAAACCTCCAGTGTTTTCGAGATTACTTAACTGTTGTCAAATGTCCTTTTTGTAAGCCCATTGTCTTTAACGGAGCTTGGTGCCTCCAGCTGAGCCTGTGCCTCTCTCTCCACTGCAGGTCCCTAATTTCATCAACACGACGCTCCCGCCCCACGAGCAGGTGACGGCTCAGGAGATAGACAGCTACTTCAGACAGGAGCTCATCTACAAGAGGAATGAGAGGATGGGGAAGAGAGTGATGGCACTTCTGAGGGAGAACGCAGACAAGAGCTTCTTCTTTGCCTTTGGAGCAGGTACAGCAGTGCTCAGTTTTATTTGGATATTGTGATTAGAAATAAAGTGGTTTGAATGCTTTGGGGTTCTTCCTCTGGTCATGCAGGAAGCTTTCTCAGGGGATTTGCAGGAAGGCTTTTGTCTGTATAAACCTGGTTCTAAAAAATGAAGCGATTTGCTGCAGGAGGTGGGCCTGGGTCTATCTGAGTTGTGATCAGGCTGTGCTTTCTGTCAGATTGTCTTGGTAGAGCAGTGAAGCTGTTAATACTTCTCACAGCATCGTGTTTGTTCCCTTCCTCACTCAAACCTCTTGGCTTCTTAGGTTGTGTTTGCATCGTGGTTGTGTTGGTGGCAGTGGGTGTGGGGTGCTTGAAGAGCCTTTGAATTTGCAAGGTCAGGTACTGATGGCAGGGAGGCTGGGGGAACACAAACCTTGCTGTGACACCTGTGGCACCAGTGTGTAGCTCTGGGTCCTGGGCTGGCATTTCAAACCTGGTGTTTCTGTTCCATGTGTTTCTTGATGTGACTTAGCTGCTTTGGTGTGTCCCAAAAGATTGGATGCTTCTGAGCCTTGCATGAGCGTATGACTTACATGTATAGCTAAACAGCAGCGTTTTAAGTCTCTAAGTAACAATCCACTGCATCCCTCTGCCTGTTTTAATTTTCTCCATGGAGAGTGCAGAAAGAAAATGTCTCTAGAACTTCTGTACATCTGCAACAGTGCACACAACTGTCCCGTCTCTCTCTTTTTAATTATTTACCCTTTCAAATGGAATTCACGTTTCTGTGTGATAAGAGCATAAATAATAACTGCTCAGGCCCCTGCTCAGCAGAATCCTGAGTGCCGGCTTCAGTGGTTCTTTAAACTGTCCTGACTTCAAGGCAGTTTGAGATTTCCATGCTGAGAACTGATCTGCTCCTCCTGCTCCATCTCGCTAACAATTTCTCATTTTTGACAGAACTTTGCTTCTCGTCCCATGGCTCTCACTGTGAACTCTGGCAACGACTTGCCTCTTGCTACTCACTTTGGTGGGAATTCTGATTAAAGACTGCAGGCTTTCGTACAGATAGATGCATTTTGATGTATTTATTTTTTGAGTGGATCCAGACTGGATTTTCCCAAGCCTATTTAATCTCAAGCTTGCCTGATATTTCTGTATGAGGAGTCTTGCTCATCTGTTTTTACAGTAGGAAAATATGTCATTATGGTTTATAATTGGAAAGGGACTAACTTTGAGAAGAAGGAAAAAAAAAAAAAAAGCTTGTCTAATCTGTGGAGCTAGGTTTATTGGAGGTTATAGTATGTGATGGGTCTGATGGAGTCTCCAGTTCAGGAAGTCCCTAAGCAGGTAACTCCTGGAGCCAGGAGGACAAACTGGGCACCGCTGTGTGTGGGGTTTGGGCTTTCAACTCCTATCTACATCTGAGAGCAGCTACCCGAAACAGCCAGGCAGCTCTGCTTCCGAAAGCTGCTTGTAAAAAGCAAGTCCCATTCTATCTCTTAGTGTCCTTTTTGGCTATGCTGGAAAAAGCTTTGTCACTGGATTGTTTCATTTTTCCAGCACAGACTGTAACAAGACAGAGCAGATGCATGTGGCAGAATTTATTGGGAGCCAGGGTGGGGGAGAGGCTGAGGAAAGCTTTTTGTTTTGGGTGCTTTGTTCCAGCATCCCTTTGGCCTTTTTCACTAAAGCAGTCCCTCCCTGCAGGCCATCCGTACTTTAAGTACAATTAATTCCTCTTCTCTTCTCCAGAGTTTTTTCTTCATGCCGTAAGTACTGAGAAAATTATTAATTCTTCAATGCCAAAACTTTTATGTGGCCTAAGTGCAAGCAAGTTCATTTTCTATTATGATTCAAAAGCCGTCTTTGTCCTGAAGGTATAATTGTAAGAGTGACATTTAAAAAAAAAAAAAAAAAAAAAGGGCATTTTGTATTCTTATATCTACCTCTTGATTTTTAAGGTTTTGTTTGTTTTTTTTTTTTATGTGCTTTGGACACAAATTCAAGCTGTTTTCCAGGTCCTTGAGGGTTTGTTTTTGTTTTTTTAATGCACAAAAAATGGTGTTCTTGATGAAAGTTCAGGCTTTCACATATTCCCATGAACTCTTAAGTGCAAAATTTTAGAAATACACCTTTGATTAGGACAGGCATGAGAGAGCCCTGCTGGAATGTGCTTACTCTTGGAATAGTGCAAGAATTTATTTCACTTTGTTTGAAAACTGGTGTATTTAAGGCCGATGGGATAGAAGAACGCTAATTAGGGAAACAATATTCTGGATGAAGTACCCCCAAAAGGTTTTCTTCGTATGTTAAGCATGATCTTTTTATTAAAACATACATTTTGAGGATATTGGAGTTTATATAATTGAATTCTCATTTGTTTCGAGGTATACTGGTTTCCAAATCTCATAATTTCAGTCATGGTTTCTGGGAAGGGAAAAATTGGATAAAACTGTGCTGACGAATAAAATTAGGGAAACAAAATGTTTCCCTAAACATGAAACTTTCTCCTGTTACGTGAAAATAACTCTGGAAAAGCTTCAGCAAATGCAGTGTTGTGGTCTTGGGCTGCTGTAAGGTGACTTGCTTGGCCTTGGTGTCATCCTGTGTACACCTGGGGACAGGGTCCCACTCTGAAAATCACCCTCCAGAGGCAGGGTGCTGCCTGGTTCATCCCATGGTCTCACAAGATGAGTGATTCCTTGTAGAAAGAGTATGCTGGAGCAAGAATGTGGTGTCCCTGTTAAACTCTTGCTGTGTGCCACGCAGAGCTGAGCTGCAGAGACATCAGGGTGCACCGCAGGGGATGTGCTTTAGGGCGTCTGGTTTGTGAGTGAGCACAAGGCCAGGAAACATCGAGCACACAAATACTGGGGATGAAGAAGTTGTAAGGGGAGAGAGGTAGTTGAATATCCAAACAAGCTGAGATTAATACTGGTTTTAGATCCATGAGATGAAGTCAAACCTTTTTACTCTGCTGAAAGGTTTTTGCTCTATTCAGAAATATTAAAACAACAACAAAAATACTCAATTTTAGCTTGAGCTTTTTCAGTTTTTCTGACTTTATTTTAAATAGAAGGAACACTTTTCAATAGACTCCCGCTTCTACCCTTCCATAGCATTACTCATACTCTAAATAAATTGGAACAGGTCAAACTTTCAATTTATTCCTTTATAAAACACAAGTGAAAATGTCCATTTACTCTTTCCATTTTTTACTTCTTTCTCCTCTCCAAGAAAAATACAGGATTTGGGTAAAATGGGACACAATTCTATACCCAGTTCTGTACACCTCATTCTTCTCCTGCCAGGGTTTACCATGGTCTGGCTTAATGTGAAAATCTCACCATGCCTATATGCACACTAACTGTACTCTAGTAAAGAAATGGCATTTATTGTTTGTGCAGTTAAATGATATTTTTCAGGTAACAGGCATGTTAATTTTTCTCTCTGAATGAATTGAAGTGGTTAAATAGGGTACTTCTAAACAGAAAAAAAAAAATCTTTTGCTTGCTTTTTTGTTTTGACAATCCATCATGGACTGTTAGGAATTATTGATCAGTGAAGCCCCTCAGCCCTGATATATACATGCGATTAATAAAGGTCCATTTACAGTCGAGAAACAGAGACACTGCCAAGAGCACATGGGCTGTTAAAAAGAGTTAATATTTTGGCAACTAAGACTATACACATGAAGTCAATGTTTAAGAAAAAATCACTCTGGTTTATTTCATTTTTATGGGCAAATAATTTTCAAGTAACACTTATGATAACAGATGGATAAATTTATGTCTGCAGTTAATTTGAACGATAATTTCCTTAGGATGTTTTACTTAGTTGCATTTCTCTTTCTTTTATGAGAGCTGTCAGTTTTGTAACTGAGAGCTGGATTTATTGCTTCAGAAATTCGGATGCTGCTCCAGTTCATGATGTTTATTAGCAGCCAAGTCAGTAGGCTTTAAGATGTTTTTTTTTTGGTTGGTTGTTTTGTTTGTTTGTCTGGAAAAAAGCTATTTTTCTGTGCTGAACCGTAAGCACTGTAGTGGCTTCCACTGCAAGAGAGGAATCGAGCTGTCTCCGGGGCTCAGTCCTGTGGCAGAGGACAGTTTTTGTTTTCCCAGTCCGCCAGGTTTGTGCAGCCCCCTCCATCCCTGGTGTGTCGGAAGAGCATGCCTGGGATTTCCACAGCTCCTGGTAAAATCTGTGTACTACCAGAACTCTCCACTTGACAAAACCAGGTCTCTTTCGTTCAGATGTCAACAGAGGTGGCTGAGATTAGGATTAAATTTCTGAGACGTTCTAGAAGAGAAAAGATAGGGGCTCTGCTGATGTCTGCATGCTCCCATAAAAGCAGGGGAATAACTCTTCTGGTGTTCCTACTTCAGTGGTTTTGAATGTTTCTACTCAGGAAAGGTGAATTCCTTCCCCATTCTGCTGAGGTTTTTCTCAGCCAGTGTTAGGCTGGCAGCATCATCAGTAATGAGTCTGTCGTAAACTAGATGGTTAAAAATAATATAATGCATGGTCTCCAAAGCCTTTTGCAAATGCTATCTGGTCAGAATGTTAAATGCTATCTGGGACGCAGAAGTGTGTTGCAAGTCTTGTGGCTGTGTCTTCAGTTGCTGGAGAAAGCAATTGCTGAGCTTCTCTAAAGGATGGAGGTGGTGTGAGAGCACAGGAGGATGCAAAACCTCCTGTTCCTAGTCCTCAGCTCCAGCTTTCTCTCTGCTCTCTGCAGAGGGTTCCCAAGAGGAATTTCATCACACCTCATCATAGGTACAGAAGATACCAAAGGCAGGGACAGATCCACCTCTCACCTTCTAAAGCAGAGTGAGAAGGTGACTCAGGTCATGCGTGGTCTGGATCACTACAGGGATGTGCTTATTTTTCTCCGTAAGCTAAAGAGAACCTGGGGAGACAGCTACAGGTGATGTAGCTGTCCTGAACATTAAAATAAATAAAATAATGATGACCATCACTGAGATGGAAGATGGTGGATGTTAAATTTGTGTGAGAGG